TATATAAACACCCCACTCTCCAAACATAATTCAAAAGTTATATCACTAAACATCCAATAAAAAAATGTGATTACAGTATTAATTAGATTTAAGATATTCCGCATGATCACCCCAGAAACCAGCCAAAGACCTGCAGGTCTCCACATCCCAACCCGAAAAACATCTGATACATTGCACCCAATCCAGCGATCGGGCAATCCGACATCTACATGTCCACCAAACAACAAACACCACCAATAAGCAATAAAAACATACAAAAAAATAATCTAAATAATATATGTAAATAAATAAATAAACAAACAAATAAATAAATAAATAAATTACATACACTTAAATGTAATCATGCCCACCTCCACCCCACCCTCTAACGCACTATCAACTATGACTTTAACATAATGACAATTGTCTGACAAATGTTTTGCGCAGTAATAAATATGAGCTATAATTTTCCACACACAATTTCAGCTACAGTCAAAATACCAACTAGAAAAAAATGCTGTTGCGTGTGTGAGTGAGACAGACAGAGGGATTTAAAAGACTTTTGTTGGACACATGGTAGCTCTGCACGGCAGAGGCCGTGACCTACTTTTTATAGCCTTTAAAACAGACAAGCACACACACCGCCTGACAATGGGACAGGAAAGTATAGGTTAGGCATGCACTAAGCCTCATTCTTAATGCATGCATTCCAGTAGATAGAGCTCAACACTACGGTGCTTTTAGCCTGCCTGTTGGTACAAGCAACTCCTGCACCCACAATCCCCTGCAAGCCAACAAAGCAAAGCCTAGAACCTAAAGGCAAAACTGTTTGTTTAAAGAATACAAGCAAACATCTATACTATTCAACAATATATTTTTACAGTATACTCAAGAAAAAAAACATTTGACACTTTAACGACAATATGTGTTTAACCTTTCTTACCCTATTTTTATAGGTATGTGTTAGAAAAGATAAATAACCAAGAAAAAACACGTTTCCCGGCATCATTTAGTTGGCACTGCTTTAGATTTATATGTATTTTTACATTGTTGTGTTCTCCTGTAAACAAGCTGTGGCGTTGGTAATGAAAGCCCACACAAACACATGTTCAAAAATGGATCCAACAACTCTGAAAAAATAAAAATAAAAACAAAACAGAGAAAAACCTATTTTTATACAATAGGTGCTTCCTAAAGCGCTCCAACAAAACGTGGTTTTAAAAAGATACACAAATCAGCTTGATGCTATTTGGTCAACCTACCGATTCCATGGCTGGGGGAGAGTTTCAGTGGGRTAAAATCCAACTAGAAAAATGCCTGCTGCTTGTAACGTCCACAGAATCCTGGGGGAAATAAAGAAAGAAAAAAAAAACATTAATTACAACAATAACACAAACAGTTTGACATTAATTGCAATTAGGGCTGCACCTATTAGTTGAAATAATCGATGACGTCGATTATGTAAATTTGTCGACGCAGATTTTTT